TTAAGTGTGTAGGGAGCTGTTTTCCAAGTTGAGATCTTGAGTGCAAGTAGGAGGCTGTTTGGATGGGCAGCTGCTCAGTGCACATCTAAGGACTTGCGTGCCTTCGCCCACGCCCTTCCTTCTTTATGTGTATCAACTTGTGGACTTGAGACTTCTAAAACAATTGCAACTGAAATCAACACTGAACCAGGGGAAAGCGCCATGCAGTTCTAAAGACTGGTCACTTCGATCAAGAAAAATAAAGTCCCTTGTATCAAATTTTAGTTATTTCTTTCAGCCCAAGTTACATCAAATACACACCACTTAGCTCTCAGGCAACAGTAGAAAGATAAAAGCTACTGATCCTCCTTGTGCAAACTGCAAACTTGTAACATGTCATGTGTTCAAGACCTTTATAAGAAACAAAAAGATGATAAAATGAGTTGTCCATGTGCATTGCTCCTTCAGTTGAAGTCTGAGGGGACACTCTACCCTCCTGCTTTAGCTCACATAGGTGGTGGCCAAAGGGTATCCATGGTTGTTTGTGAAATACCGTCCTCCACATGACTGTGAATCCTAGGTCCTCTGCTTGTAGCTTATTCCACGCTTGAGATGATTAGAGAACCTTTAGAAAATGGAACCCACTCATAAGAAGCAAATCGGAGAGGCAGGGTGGAGAGGAGGGGCAGGAAGCAAGGTCTTACAGTCCAGTGCTGCCCCTTTGCTTGATTTCTTGTTGTTTCTAGATCACCAAGATTGTGAGCAAAAAGCCCTACAATCCTGCTGACACAGCTAAAGGCATTCCCACACATCTTCATCATGCCTTCTCTACCAAGATTTGGCTCAAACTCTGAGTCAAATAAATCCTTCTTTCTGCTGCTTCATGGTGAGTCTCCTCACTGGAGGAGAAGCAGCTAACACACAGAGCATAGTGGGCAGCACAGTAGGCTACAAATGGCTTTAATCGAGTTGGACAGAACAGCCTCAGAAGTCCATTAGCGTCCTGAATCTTGATTTGTTGTTGCTGCTGTTAAATAAAGAAAGTGAAATCAACTAGGATTAGTTTTCTTTAGGATTTAAGATTATAATTTACAGGATGTATGTTTAGGTATATATTTTCCTAGCAGCAACAGGTCACTATTTGCTAACTTAGCATCTGTGAGAATCTTAGAGATCCTGTAACAAATACAAACTGACTACATTTGAGATCTAGAGAGATGGCTCAGCAGTTAAGAACACTAGCTGCTCTTCCAGGAGACCGGGGTTGGATTCCCAGCACCCACCTGGCAGTTTACAAAAGTCCATAATTCAAGTTCTAGGAGATCTGACACCCTCTTCGGCCTCCATTCACAGCACTTGTGAAGTACCTGTTTGGTGTCTGGTACCTCTATGCTCTGAGGATGAGGAGCTCTGGACAAGTTCTGATTTTGTAGAACTTAACTTTTTTTCTTTAATTCATTTATTTTGGAGATGATGATCTCACTGTGTTGCCCAGACTGTTGAATTTTATTTTATTTTCCTATAAAACACTGACTCTGGCAATTCCTCAAGAAGACCACACTGCTATTGCCATTTCCTCTCTTTCTGCTGACCCTGCCATGCTCCCTCCCCTGCTAAAACTAAAGATGGATTATTTTTTCTAACTAAACCCAACATTGTACTTAAGAAACTGAACTCTGCTCCTCCCAACTAATAAGTGAATAAAATCCAGGACCTGATATTCTCACCTATTTCTGCCTTCAAAAAGCAGGGTAATTTGATTTTACTGAACAATAATCCTATAATTACCTTCATTTCCATTGGGCCTAGCATTTCTCCTGGAAAGCCAGAGTTGTTATTTCCGTTAACATAAGAATGATGCTATAACTTCTTTTAATAAGTGGATAGTGTATAAAATATTGTTGAGTCCAATACTGATGAACAGTAATTTTAAGATCCAGACACCCTTGAAATCTTAAGTAAGATCTCCCTTCCTTGGCACTGCGTAAGGAAATGGGAACTGCCCTCTACACAGCACGATAGCAGCTGTCTGGCATCTTGTGAGGTCTGAGCTGACTCCCCTGGCACCAGTCATGTTGATATGGATAAGTCAAGTGGAAGGAACCCAGGAGCATCTAAAGGGTGTGGAGAAATGCAAAGTCAGAGCTAACACACAGCATTGGTAATGGGAGTCCCAAGACAACAAAGGCACCGGGTCCCACAAGGGCCTACTCTGCCAAATCATACATTTTACTGTGCTAAGAGTGCTCTGTGGTGGAAAAGCCCAGCCGAAATAACCAGCAGAGTCACCAATTTCCATGTATGGCTGAAAACAAATAGGGCTGGTAATCCTAATGGACCGAAATCCATATCTAGAATATAAGATGTCCCCTGTCCTCCACACATGTTCCATCACTCACACATACACACACACACACCCCAAACACTCTAGGATAGTAATGAATTTAAAATTTTTAAGGAAATTAATAGATGATTCATTTTTCTTTTTTCTTTCCTCTTTTTTTTTTTGGGGGGGTTTGTTTTTTGAGATAGGGTTTCTCTGTGGCTTTGTAGGCTTTATAGGCTGTCATGGAACTAGCTTTTGTAGACCTGGCTAGTCTTGAACTCACAGAGATCTGCCTGCCTCTGCCTCCCGAGGGCTGGGATTAAAGGCATGCACCACGACTGCTCAGCTGATAAGCACATTTTTATATATAAATAAAACCACCAAGCGAAAAAGGAAAAAAAAATCCTCTTCTTACAGCACTCCGTAAGTATTAAATATTATATGTGCATTAGGAATTGCTGTCTGAATTCTTGAAGCATTTTTCTCTAAATTGGACTCAACATGAACTTTAAGATGATTAAAACAGCAGCAAGTTTTCGTTACATGCTGGGCTCTAACTTAGTAAGTGTAAGACGATGGAAGGACCGGCAATGATGGCGATGATCATGTCTTTTTCTAAAACAGATACCTTCTTTAATGCTGTAAATTGTGTGTGATTTTATTTTACATCTTCAGTTTTGTTTGCTTATAATTTCACACAGAAACAAGGCATAAATACAGTTAAGAAAAAATGTGCTGGAAATAAAGGCAGTACCAACACTGAGCAAATATAAACAAATACGGTAAGCACACCTACACAGAATCAGCACAGGCTATTTTTAGCTAAAACCCCAAAACCACTATGGCATTTTTATGGCTTATGACTGAAGAGGACCTTTCAAACCAGTGTCCCCAATTTGAACAGTAAGTCACTTCAGGGTTGATAAAAGATGATAATATAATGTAATACCAATATGTCAGCATCATAAAACTTAGAATCTTCATCAAATTGCCCCTTCCTGGTAGTATATTCATAAACATTTCACTTTTCTAAAGATTGAGTAGAGTTAGTTATTTATATGTATTTATTTTCTCATTTGTATTGCCTGAAGTATCATTCCTACATTACCTTTGTATGCTTCTATACTGATGGTATTTCAGATTATAAACTTCCTCAAGCTAGGAATTATAATTTTTTATGATTGCATATGGACCCAATATGTTCCCCCAAAGCAACAAAAAAAGTGAAGATAAAGCCCCAACAACAAGGCACACAATACTTTAAAGACCAAATTAGCAATTGTTCAAAAGATAAAAGATATGATCAAAAATCACCATGGAAGCTGCCAGAAGAAAGCCATGAAGAAGCATGATTTACACAAAAAATAGAGATTTCCAAGTACTGGGGAAGGGACTTGTAAACAGCTGAAGGCTGCTCTCCTGATGCCACAAACTGAGGAATTGTGGGTAAATTCCTGGTGGATTTCTTAGAAAAACAGTTTAATATCTGTTTACCAAAATAAGAATGTTCTTAATTCTTACTTCTTCACACATATTTAAATCTGTGGTTACTATTGAAAATGCTATGTATATATAAACTTAAATGGAACAACCTTTTAAGCACAGATTTAGCACTGAAGTAACATTTACTAAGCCATTAAATTTTTGCAATTACATACACGATGTAAGGCTCACTTATTGATAACAGCAAATACTAGTGAGCTGCTAACAAGCACTGCGTTACAGGCCTTGTAGACATCTCTCTCTCTCTCTCTGCTTTCCATCATATTAGCATATTACCTGTGAGTACAGAATTGGGTCTACGGACTTCCAGAGCTGATCTCTAAACTGTCACAGTGCAGTCAGGGTTCTGTGGGGGCGCTATTATCACTGACATCCCTCATACTGTAGCACATATGAAGAGTTTATTCTTTCTAATAATTCTAAACCAATGGCTATAAGCCGTGGTTTCTCAATGAGGGCTTGGAATACTAGGGTGGAGGGAGAGTTTGGTGAGTGTATAGTCACAGAGGCCCCCATGCACCTACACTGAGAGGTCTTCCCTCAGAGGAGCTTCACAGATGGCCAACTACACAGAGCAGCACTGATCATACAGCATCATTACCATTTCTCTGCCCCCACACCACTCTCCATCTAGTTCTCATTGTGCCCAATAACACAAAGTTATTAAAACATGGAACATTTCTAGGAAATCATAGCAACGGTGGCTAGATTCGGGATCTAACCTAATAATGCTCGTATTCAGTCATAAATGGGATCCTCCTGGTTTATTGTTCTAGGTCTTTTTAGCAATTAGGCTTCATTTCTGGATGATTAGACATTCTTTGAAAACTTTATTTCTTCTCACATGATTCATCTTAAAACATCACTTCTTTGTCAACAATTTTGTCTAGAAGTCAGACAGATATTTACCCACACAGAACTTATTACCATACTGGGCTCGGGTGATCCTCCTCCCTAGGCCTCTGGGGACACTTAAACTACAAGTCAATGCCACCAAGACCAACTGAAAGAGCTTTTATAAAAATAGATGAACCGTCATTTGTCTTGTTTACTAATGAAACAGTATTGAGCAAAAACAAATTTTGGTCTTTAAAAATAGTAGGGGAATGGAGAACTTCATCTGAGAGATTCACGGAGGGAGCAGAACCTCTCAGAAAGAATGGTCTCTGTTGCCATGGCATTTTCAACCAGGGACTGTGACGTCCGATCAACTCAAGGAGTAGTAGTGCGGGGCCTCTGGCTGCTTTTCCAGCTCAGACCCCACCGCGGAATATTTCTTCATTTGTGTCTGGCACCCTGCAAAACCTACGAACAGGAAGTGAGAAGAACTGAGACACCACCGTGCTAATTTCCTGAATACTGATTCTGAGGCCATTGGAGTAAGAGAAAACTACATTCCCACTGGTCCTGAAGCTGTGTTGTCTTTTGCAGCTGCGCAGTAGCTAGAAGCAAAGTTACCCATTCTTCAGCATCCTCGGGCCCTCATTTCCTTTTGTGGCAACTCTGCACAAGCTAACCTTCTTCACCTTCTTTTGGAGGAATTCTGAGCACTTGGAGGGTTTTTGCTTGACCAATGCATCCAAAGATACCAGTCGGCTAAAAGTCAAGACTCTCCACCGGTGTAAAGATTCTTGGCTCTGGAATCTAGGTGGCATGCATATAACAACCAAGACACTTGGTCACTGAGTGACCAGAGGAATATAAAGCATTGGAGCGTAAACCTGTTCTCTTGACTACAGCTTGCCAAAGCAGACTTACCATGACGAAAGAACAGTGGAAACGATGAGGGGGAAAGACACGAGCAGAACCGAAGCAACACAGAGCATGGAGGGACGAAAACGATACTGTTGGCTATCCGAGAAAGAGAGGAAACAGATGGAAAGACAGGCACACCGCACCAGCCAGGCCAGAGACTTTAAGAGCAGAATGTGTAGATTTTTCCCCAATGAACGGCTACCGAGAATTGTGTACGACGGCCAGACAGCACAAAAAAGGCAGATGGTCAAAAAGAGGGAGCAGGCGCAGATCAAAGACCACCAGGAGCGCATGCTTCGAGGCAGGGAACAGATAGAGCAAAGACTCAAGGAAAGACTCTTGAGAAGAAGCCAGGGCCAGCTCCCTTCACTAGAGAAGCTCGAGAAAGTGAAGAAGGAGATGAAAGACTTTGAAAGGGCTAATGCACACCCGCTTTTGGAGCTGCGCAGGAAAAGCCTCATTAAGTTGGAAAGTCTTATCGAGAAGTCTCAGGCACGAGAGGAAGCGAAAACGGCAAAGCCTCACCAAAAGAAATTCCTGGCCTTGCCAACCTTTTTGAAAAGTCACAGCCGAAAAATCAAAGACCAGTAAAATTTCAGTGCTTTTCGTGAAGGAAAAAAAAATTCCTGGAAATTAATAAAGACTTTTAGAAGTACTGTGTCATTCAGGAAATTATACAGTAAGTAACTGATACCCCATCTTCCTTATGAAAGAGCTGGAAGGGATGGAGAGACCGCTTGCTCAGTTCCCAGCACCCACATGACAGCTCACAACCACCTGTGACTGTAGTTCCAAGGGATCTGACACTCTGTTTTGGCCTCAGTAGGCACCGAGTATTCTAGTGAACAGACATGTGTGCAAGCAAAACACTCATACACATAAAATAACTTTTTTAAAAAGGGAGTTTAAAATTAACTTTATTCTCCATATTCTGCTTTTCTTTTAAAAAAGTCGAAGCACAAACCATCATTAATAGTCTCCTACATGTTGGAAGTATTCATTGTAGATGCATAGAACAACAAAAACAAAACAGTCAAGGAAAAAGATTACCTATGTAAGGAGATACAGGGAGATAAAATTTAGAGTATAAAATCTAAATTCACAAAATGCTTTAAGAACAAATGAAAGGTACTTCTCTGTCATTTTCATAAATTATAGGCTGGCATGAAAAATTCAGAATCTGAAGTTGGAAACAAATCCCATGAAATAGTCTTTAAAATAATGTGATTTTAATTTGAATATATTTCAGAATCCTTTCAACTAATCAAACAAGATAAAGATCTCATTAAGTCAAACTCTCAAAAGGCAAGCCTCACAAAAGAACAAGAACCAATCATATTCATTTGGCCAATTTTACAAAGCAAGCTGAGGTGATGGGCAGGGGTAAACAGAAGGGTGGTGGCTATTTGTCAAGAGGCAACTATGTGGTATCATGTCCCTAAGTAAAAGACCACCCAAAGATACGTTCACTGGGGAAAGCCGAGAAAACCACGGCAGAGTCATGGCACCAACACAAGCAATGCTCTTTCCAGAAGAATTTATTTACAAAATAAACCAAAAATCGTACTTGGAAACCCCTTTCTACAGCCGAATATCACAATGATTTTTCCTTTGATTAGAAAACCATTAAGTAGCAACCCTTTGCTTCTCTGTGGCTTCACTACAAGGAACACAAATGGCCATTTTTAACATGCAGGGAATTGGAAATATTTTCTGAAAACATTACCACAGGAAAAATTTAAACTTTTTAACAGACCTCCCCTGTGGCAGTAGGCCAGGAATTCCCACATCACGTGGCCATCTGGCCTCACCTCCTCACTACTGCTCTGCACAGGACACTGGGAAAGTTCCAGACGTTTTCACCAAAGAACAGGTTTGGTTTCAAAGAACTTAACCTCTTGCATGAAACAAATGATATAGATTTCCTCAATGGGGAACCTAGTTAAGAGTTTTAATATATATTGAAAAATCTGAAAGTGATAAGTTATAGTATGAGGTTTTCCTCAAAATAGGACAAGACAATAAAAAAATGAACTAAAAAAACCCTGCATGTTTCTTGAAAACTAGTCAAATTCCAGGGACAGCTTAGGCTATGACATTTTAAATATTGAATAACTGAATGAAGAATTTTAATTTTGGCCAAAGAAATGAAGTGAATTGAATGCAAAGTTTCTTGAAGCAAAACACACTACCTTCAAGTCTGACCATTAATTTTCAGTAATACTTTTATATAGTTTATCTCCACAAACAATCTTTTCTGCTAAAATATGTGGAGGAAAAAACTATGCAAGGGTTTCTAGTCTTTCTCTCATTTGGACTACTGTATTTATTTGGGAGTAGATCTTCAAGAAAGAATAAAAACAGATCTTAAAAATTTAGACACTGCCAGATGTTGGTAGCCCATGCCTTTAATCCCAGCACTCAGGAGGCAGAGGCAGGCAGATCTCTGTGAGTTTGAGGCTAGCCTGGTCTACAGAACGAGTCCCAGGACAGCCTCCAAAACAATACAGAGAAATCCTGTCTCGAAAAACAAAACAAAAACAAAAAAAAAAATAGGCACTCAGTAAGATTAAAAAAAAACAGTATTTTAAGAGAAGATAAACTACTGAGTATCTGACCGGCTGATAAAGGAGTGACATGAAAATAGCCAAACAACTCTTACAACTCAATAAGAAAAAAATTCAACTAAGTAGAGGCCACAGGGCCTCATTAGCAGAGAAAACATGAAGTCTTTGTGGTAGTGACCTTCAGTCCCAGCACTTGGGACCTTTAGTCCAGCAGAAGTAGGCAGGTCTCTGCAGATTTGAAAGGGAAGCCTGGTCTACAAGTGCTGGGCTAGCCAGGACTACACAGGAAGGCTGACTCAAAAAAAAAAAAAAAAGAAAAAAAGAAAAGAAAAGATGACAACTGCATACATGAAAACGTGGTCAGCAAGTATTAGGCACACAAAATGACAAAATCCTGCCATTTATTAGCAACTGGGGTGGAACTGAAGACACTGAGTGTAATAAGCCAGGTAGGGCACACAGGAAGCACTGCACACTTCCATCTATACAGAATACAAACAGGCTTAGTTCAGAAAGCAAAGACGCAGAAAGAACAGTGGCTACTAGAGGCCAGAGGGGAAGGCGGGGCAATAAGAACAGGTGGATCAGGGTTGCAAACTATGGCCAGACAGGCCGACTGTTGTGTTTAGTGCACCGTGGGTACTTACATAAGTTAACAGTGTTACTCAATCCAATACAGCTGGCCCATTGCGAATGTCTTCCTCAGAAGCAAGGAATTTTTAAATGATAGATAACCGAAGGATACAGAGAAGATCAACATACAAAGTACTAGTGCACCCAACACCAGGTTGTGATACAGAAACAAATTTGAAAGAAAGCTAAGTGCAGTTACTATACAATACAGCAGTCAAATTTCTTGACATTTACCATAAAGAATATAAAGATTAAAAGTACCCCACAACTCCACCCACATGCCAATATAATAGAGACATTTCCCCTCTTCCCAGATTAAAACAGCTTGTGTCAAGTTAACTAACTAGCCAGTACACACAAAAGTATGCTCAACTATGACTAAAACTATAAGACTCTGGAAAGGCAAAGGTACGCAGAAATTAAACACTGACGGCTAAGAATTCAGAGGGGAAGAAAGTGGTATAAATGGAGCCCAGATATTGCTAAAGTAATCAAACTATCTATACTATACTTTCATCATGGACACATCACTATAGGCATCTGTCCAAGCCCACAGAATGGGAACTGGAGTCCAACTCCTAATGCAAACTGTGGCTGATGATAAATACTGGCTCACCACCTGTAACTGACACTGGAGGAGGGGACAAGTAGCAATGGAGGATGAGTACAGGGGAAGAGTTTTTCTGCAACATAAAACTGTACTAATAACTCAAGTCTATAAAAAGCAAAATGAATGCAGACATTTTGGTAATGAAAAGTCATCCATATTCAAATTTTATAACAAAAGTGTTATCAAAGCACAAATTCTGTGTTAAGAGCAATTTAGAACTATGCCTGCCACTGGCCCTAGCAGAAGCAGGGTTGCTCCTGTAGCATGCATGCCCAGTGCCCATAACATCACAGGACAAAACAATTATCAAATCACTGATCTCTAAACCCGTGTCCTCAGATTTGATAGCTGCATGCCTTTAGCATACATTATTGTATTTCCTTCACACTCACTAATTCTCCTGAGAAAAATGAGATCAAAAGAGGACTGAGATGTCCAAGGGAGCAACAAAAAAGGCTAAAAAGGTTCACTGCCAGTAGTGGCACAAAGCCAGCCCTGACTCCTAGACTCAGTGCTCCTATCCACCAAAGCCTTTCTGTATCCTGGAGTAGACTTTTCTCACGTTTGTTGCAGCCACTCACGTGGGTGCCTTGTACTTTGTTTACAGGAGAGGTTCAGGTTCTGAGTCTAGCATTATAGATCCTGTTTCTGACACTGACTCTGTGAAAAAAAAGTCAAGACTTAAGGGGGAGATGACACTCCCATCACATTCATCACATTCTGATTTATCAAAACAAAAATATGGAAAAACAAAAATGTGACTGTGCCTTAAAATGAGAATAAACAGTTGGACCACAGAAACCTGGGTAACATTTGAAAAACTAAGATTAAGAAGCTGTAGAGGAGGATCAGTAGTTAGGAGCACTTAATGTTCTCCACAAGCCCTGAGTACAGTTCCTAGCACCCACACTGGCTTTGCTGACTCCCCATGGGAGGCCTTACCCTATCTAAGGAATGGATGGGAATATGCTGGTGAGAGGGAAGAGGGGGGAGGGGGAAGGGGAAGGGGATCTTTGGTTGGTATGTAAAATGAATATAATAAAATGAAAAACTAATTCTCTAAGATAGCATGCTTTTGAAATGATTTTTGCCCATTTAAATCAAATATATCTAACTTTAATACACAGTGTGTTTCATGTTAGGATTCCAAGAATCAAATTATGCATCTGGGCCTTGATCTTCCTTCGCCAGTCTATTCATTCATTAGAAAACAGTGAAAAGAGCCAGGCATGATGGCACAGGCCTCTCATCCCAACACTTGCATTTGGGAAGCACAGACAGGTAAATCTATGAGTTCATGGCCAGTTTGGTCTACATAACAAGATGCAGCCCAGCCAGGGCTACCTAGTGAGACCCCATGTCAAAAATAAATAATTATTAACAAAGATAAGACCATACAGAAATCAGTGACATCATTTTGTTAACTACTTGGTCTTTACATGGCTTATGTTGGTGGTTCTCAAATGACATGCCTTCAAAACCAAGAAGGTTCTATCAAGCACTACAATTTATAGGTTTTTTATTAAATTAATTAGTGACAAAACAAAGTTTTCAATCAACTTTTACAATACTAACTATACTCCTCCACACAACGCAAGAATTTCTTGTTTCCAAGAGAATGCTGAATGTGGTTAACAAGAAAAAGAATAAACACAATGGTACTTAAAGGACTGGTTAGTGATACAGAAGAAAGATCACTACCTCACACTTAGAAATAAAGTGTATACTTCACTACACTAACTGTTTAAAGTAACTGACAAAGATATATTTAAGGAAAATCGTCCCAGTGCTTAGTGTGCTGGGGATAAAGCGCAGTCAAGTTATCTTTCAAACATACAGTGCTGA